GTGACTCAGAGAAGTCAACAGCTGAAGTCAAATGACGACAACGTGCAAATCTGCTATTTTAGAATCACTGCCCGGTTCACTTTGTTTCTACCTCATTCATTAGGCTATTTCCGAGTTACCTTGTGCCTCTGTACTGTTACGCGGAGTCTTCGTGTGAAAACAAATGAAAATGTGTTCCACCTACAAGTTAATTTTCATGCGAATGAAATCATTTTTTGTACGAAGACTCGTTTTGAAACAGAGGCACAAGGTAACTCGGAAATGACCTATTTCGCTTATGAATTCCTCAATAAAGCAAACAAACGGTCAGTGGCCATCTTTGCTCTGCTCTCCACCAGTTTGTACCAAAGCACGCTTAGATTTCCTTTTGTATCAAAAAAGGCTCGCTATGGCATCCAATAAAACCCCCAAATTGTGGTCATTTATCCAAAAGTAATTCATGTATCCCTTACGCCCGCAATCTCGTTCCCAGAGTCTTCGTTCCCCTTGAGCAACCATTTTGAAATAACCGAATTCTGCCCATCCGGTTTCACTGCGCAGTCTGCATCTATGTGCATTTGAAATAGTTGCTACCCTCCGCTCCCAGAGCTCTTCGTTTTCCGACCGCTGGTCAAGGGGAACGAAGACTCTGGAGGTTGTTGTGCCTTTCTAGTTCCGCTGGACAAAGGTAACGAAGGCTCTAGGAAGAAAGGCAAAAAGCGATCAGACAATCAGACATCGATCGCCGCCATTTTGTAAATTACATGGTCAGAGCGAACTCAGTATTATAGCTAGGTGAGTAGACTTGTTTAATTTATTTTGTATATAACATTTCTTCTTTGCAGAATTTCTCTAGAATTGTCGAGAGAACGCCTGTAATGCGATTGGAAAGATCGCTTCTGCAGGTTGGTCGATAGGAAAATTTGAGAGTATTCGGGAACCCAGGAATAAAAATACTAGATATTCTGCCACCCCTTTTTATATCAATTTTGAGAACTGAAAATCACTTTTGCAGAAAAGAAAGGTTCAAGTAACGATTACGAAAGAGAGAACAAAATATTTGATTAAGCTTTTGTTTGGAGTCAACTTTTGTTTGCTCAAGTTGTTCGCGCCCTCGCGCCGTATTGTTGTGTATATAGATCGGTTACTATGACGTTAATCGTTTTAACGGTTTTTCTTTCACCATGGATGAATCAGTTAAGAAAAACAAACGGCAAGAGTAACGAGATGCTTAATATTGTTTTCATTCGTGTGGCATAACAACCGGCAGGGTACGTATTTTGCAGAACGCCGAACATAGAATGCAGAAAGTCGAATGCCGAATGC